TCCTTTTTTATCTAATTGTCTAAAACCCATTCACATGAAGAAAAAGGTTCTATATTTTAACTCACTTTCTGTAACCTTCCCCAAATTCCTCCCAAAACCCTCGTCTTCGTCGTCTCCGATTTGTGCCTCCTTCAGTGGCTGACCGGGCTTCCCGGTGGACAGCCCTATGCCGCTCATCCATGGCCTTGGTTGCGGCGTTATCTCCTTTCATCTCAGACCGAGGGTCGCTGACGGACGTATTCGGCAAATGTCTTCGAATCGCGTTCGAAATTCGTCAGCGTTTCTGGGTGGTGGGGGTGGGTGGGGTGCAGCGACAGTGGCGGGATGCGGCTCAGGTCGCTTGCATCGACCTAATCGAGGTGACTCCCCTCATCGGCCTTTGCAGATGACCTCGTTTCTTGTTTCTATGTTCTTGAAGGTGTTGCTCCGCAATCTTTGGTCGCCGCCAGCACTTTAGAGCTGCAATTGCAATTGGCCGGGGTTCGTTTTTGGGGGTTGGAAGGGGAGCTTGTGGCTCGCACCGGCTGTTTCAGAATGATGGGGCATTGATGTCGTCCTTGCTCCCTTCTCCCCCGATCTCCAGCGTTGAGTCCGGGGGAGGACCTGCTTGCCAGAATTGACTAGTGGTGTTAGCCGGTTTTCGGGGCGGTGGTGGCTTGGGGGGGCGTTTTTGGCATCTTTTGGTTGGAGAGCAGGTCGGCTTTTGGACTGGTTTGGGACTTGGGTCTACGTATTTGCTAGGCATTAAGCAATGGCGGACGTGGTTCTTGTGCTTCGGATCTCTCCTAGGAGCCGACTTTGTCAGTTGGTTCAGTTCGGGAGTTCTGCTGAGGGAGGGCTCGCTCATTTTAGTTGTTATTTCTTAGGTTTGCTTTAGGTTGTTTTTGTTTGTTTGATTTGTTTTGTCTCGTGGGTTTGGGGCGTTGACCTCTGTATGCGTCCGAGTGTGAGCGGGTATTATCCTTTCAGGATCTTTTTTATCTTAAAATACCTATTAGGGCTTTGTAGTAGTTTTTTAGTAATTGTATTGTCAGTCGGGTCGTGAGTCATGTCTTTTGGTTTCTAGCGTTGCTAGTTTCGATTATAGGCGGCTTCTGACCTATCTTCTTAGTTTTTCAGCTATTGGTTGTATTATTCAGCTATGAGTTGTACCTTTACACATATATGTGTTTTGATCTATAGTATCCTCTATCGTTCCCGGAAAGATAAAATAAAAAAATAACTCGCTTTTTCCATTATTTTTTTGCTTCCCCAAAACAATATATGTTACATCTTAAGAGTCGTATTCATAATGGTTGAGTTGGCTGCTGGCTCGTTATTAATATATTGTAATGAACCAATGGTCTACAATTTACATTATTATGCAGATAATAATTTGGAATACACATGCAACCCGTGTTTTATCACAATGTAGTTGACCTTTGGTTCTTACAAATTCAAAAAAAGAAATAAATAAATAAATAAATAAATAATATCTTCTAAATAAATTTGCATGGTGACTCATACATAAGTTTAAACAAGGCTAGGCAAATTAATTAAAGGAGTCATTAGTCAAACTTGAATTTTACTCATTTATCAACAATACCATATTGAATTCGAATTTTAACGAGTTAAATTATAAAAAATTATATAAAATAACGAGTTCAACATACGACGCGTGTATTATAGGAGGTTACAATAACATTCAAATTTACTAGTATAACAATTGTATAAACATGATGTTTCTTTTCAAAACGATAGATTCATAATTATGGCCGACAACCGGAATAGGAGCTGCTCAGGGAGGTCAGCCTAGATGCCACAACACACTAACACTAAAAAGAAAAATAAAAGCTCCACAAAGGAGAAAATAAAAACACATAATTACAACCGGCCGACAACCGGAATAGGAGCTGCTCAGGGAGGTCAGCCTAGATGCCACAACACACACTACAACACTAAAAAGAAAAATAAAAGCTCCACAACGGAGAATGACACTAACTCCCCACAGGAGAATAATACACTCATCCAAAGGAGAAGAAAACAAAACACAACCTACAAAACAAATAAACACACCAAACACTAACAAAACACCACAAAACACAAAACACAAAACACAAAACACAAAGCACAACACAAAGATAAAAAAGGACAAAGCCCTTCTCGCTGCCGGGAACACGCCAAACAATTACGACAGCAATATCAGTGGCCGACTACCCATACGGACCGGAACTCTTCCCAGAAACCAACACCAGAAACTGAAACTTACGCACCTAACTGGAGTTAGACCCTAGAAACTCGACCCAGCACCCGAGCAGCTGACCCCACCCTCAGCCGGAGGAAAACGAACCAAACACCCATCGCACCAACACCTCATTGTATAAACACTAGTTTGGTTGGTTAAATTTGTTTTAATTGATGAATTCTATTATAATTGTATAAACATAGTATAACAATTGTATAAACATGAAGTTGGTTGGTTAAGTTTATTTTAATTGATGAATTTTATTATAATTGTACAAACATGAGGTTGGTTGGTTAGTTAAGTTTATCTTAATTGTTGAATTTTATTATTTTCTGTTACATCTAATAGAT